CAGAAGGCGGAGTACACAGTGTGTAGTACAATCAACGCAGCGAAGAGAGCGTAACTTCCTGACTTAGTCGGCGCACCACGTGTTTGTCGCGGGCTTCCTCCCCAGAATCGGCGGTGGAACACACGGGCTAGGCGCAAATTGGACTTGCCGTCGTCGGAGCACTACGTAGACTTGTAGGTAGCTGCCTGTGTACCTCAGCCAGGGGAATGGTGAGCACCTAAGTCCTTGCTCCTCGGCTTCCGCCTCCAGTCGGTGACACATGGAGGACACCTCTTCTTCCCATATGCCCCTCGCCGCTCTCCGTAGCGGCCACAGGCCGTATGTTGAAAGTAGTTGGCCTGGGAAGAGCCACCTCCAGAGAGGGACACGGTCTTCATTAAGACGTTCAGGGCGTTTGTCAGAAACAACCGCGGAGTTATATGGTCTGCCTTGCAGAACCAAAGTCTTGCACACCTGGGCATCGGAGAAGGACAGCCGTAATCGTGAACCCGGCGGTTCCACACAACTCGCTCGAGCAAGCGACCCGCAAATCTCCTCACCCGCAGAAGTAACGTCAAGCCTCACTCCAGTCATCAACGAAAACAGAGGCATAACTTTTCGTGTGTCTGTAGCACACTACCCTCGCATCGTATAAAACTTACTTAGTGCTGGGTACAAGTCTCCATCACCGACGCTGACTATCGCGGCGTGATATAATAGATGGTGAAGTAAGCGTACAGGATGACTGTGCGTCACCCTGGTAGCGCGTCTAGTCGGGCCTGTTCTTGGCACATCAGCTTCACTTCGTTGGAGCACCTGGCCTCGGTCCCAACCAGGGCCACCACGGGTGATAATCCCGTTGCCGGATGGGGTGGTGGCCTACTACGGAAGCTGCCAAAGACCTCCAGGCAATAATCCTATAATATTCTTCGACATCAAAAAAGCAGCACTCGGTGGCTGGATTCGCCTCGGTTGCCTTGTGGTCGGTAGGGCGTGGTTACGAACAGCTTGCTTCGCCACTCGTTCATGACTAGTTGGAAGAACTGGCTCTTGAACTCACTACCGCCGTCTACGAGGACTGCGATGGGCACGCCGAAGTACTGCTGCCAATGGGTGACTGCTCCTCCTGCCCGCGGGCCGATTAGGTCGAACGAGAGAGCTCGTTGAAGAATGGCCGCGAGACCAAACCGAGATCTATTGCAACTGTTGACCTCAGCGCATAACTGTCATTTATCCACGAAGTATCTTATGGTGTGCAACTCTCGTTCGTGTGTGTCCCGTTCTGCTGGCTGTAGCTTCCGACTTCCGAACTCTATGGGGACNCGTTCGCCGTCTTGTTCTTGCTACAGGATAGGTCCTATTATGG